GATGGCTAACAAGACTCAGGGATGATCCTGTGGCTCGCTTTCCTGTGACAAGTGTGCACATCTGCCGTGAGGTTTTTACTTGGGAACTGAAGCAGGCCTTCATGTTTGACGGGTGCCAGCTAAACCATCTGCCCAGGCTCGGTCCCTTATTTATCTTTTCAAAAATTGATCTGCAATCATTTCGTTACTTCTTTAGCTTTAAAAAATGACATCTTAAAAGATAAGCCTAGTTGATAAACACAAGAAAGCAGCCTCCACCTCCTGGCAGTTTGCCTACTTGCCCTGAAGCAGGGATCCTCTCCACCACTTGGAAACTTCCAGATAAAATTTGGCTGCAGGCAAAGTGGAGGTGCTTGGCATCTAGAGAGTCATTTCCCCAGGTTAGCCTGGGGGACGTGACGGGGTTCTGCAAGGAAGAGTCAGGGAATCTTTGGCTTCGGGCCTCTTCCCCAAGATCCTTCTTTTCAATTCTTCAAAGAGAATCTGAAGGACCTGCTGCAGCCCAGCCCGGCATTTCCCCTCTGCAGCTCAGGTTACTGAAAAATCCCTCAAAGCTAATTGAGCAAATGGAGTGGCTTGGTTTCTTCCCCCCAGAAAATTTTAAGAGATTGATTTCATTTGGAAAGCATTTCCCAAACAGGATTTTCTTAAAGAAACATATATCTAAAAAGCATAGCTCTACTCTAGGGGTTCTCACTTTTTAATGGGGAGAAGTGTCACTGTGTGTGTGTGTGTGTGTGTGTGTGTGTGTGTGTGTGTGTGTAGAGGGCTGATGGCCAGAATCCAGAAGGCCCACTTTAGGTTTTATATGTATGAAATAATAGCGTTCTTTCATGGCATTGTCTCAGTGCACGTGGCATATTAACTGAGGAGGAGAGACCTTTGTGATAGTAGTCTTGGGTTATGGCTTTGCTGCTGGCGACACTGGACAAGTTCTGTGAGTCCCTTGCCGTCTCTCTTAGATCCTATCAGAGGAAGGAGAAGCTGTGAGGACCACAGTGATGTGCTCACTAAGGAACACATTTAACCTTGTTATCTCTATTGTCATGATACACCACTAACCCCTGACACATCTTGGTACCTCTTGGTCTCATCTTGGCTTCTTCAGGTCATTGTCAAGGCGGTTGTAGCTGGCTGTGTTATTTTGTTACAGTTGTAACTCTTCTTGCCGTGGACTCTCCAGAATAGGGAGTTTATTGCCCTCTGGGCAGGGATGCCGACTAGGAATGTTGGTGATCCAGGAAAGCTTTGTCCATGGTGATTGCTCACGCTCTTGATCCCTTCAACTCCTTTTTGATGTGATAGTCAAGTACATAATAGTGGATTCCATTGAAACGGAAAGACTTCTTTCTCTCTCCCTCCCTCCCCCATCTCTTGTATTTTTTTTATCTTCTTTTATTCTGTTCTTGAAGAATCTTCCATAACACATACCTAGACCATGCTATAAGAAAAGTGGATTGAAAGTGCTTTATAGCTACTATATGGAATTTTAAAATACATAGATCTTACTTACTCACACATGCATGATAGAAATAGTGAGTTCCTCAAGGAGGGTCCTCTACCCACTCTTTCCTCTGAGTGTGTCTGCATGTATGTGTGTGTGGTAGGGGTTGTCTCATTTTGTCCAGGAGAGGGCAGTATTGCATATGTGGTCTCCCTGCAGCCATGACATTCCAGGAGCCCAAACTATTAAATGACAAGTAATTTTGAAACACTGGCTCAATTACTTTTATATATATATATATATGTCCAAAATAGCCAGGCAACAAGAATCCCAAAGGCCAGTGTTGAGTTAGGTCTTGAAGTATAGTGATCTGCTAAGAGCACTGAACTCATCATCCCGTGTATGAATAACTATAGGAGAGTATGGTATAGGTAGCAACATGAAAGTGAACCCACAGAAGGCTTGTGAGGTTGTCAGACAGCTGGGCATGGTGGCAGGGGCTTAGCATCCCAGCACTCAGGCACTGAGGCAGCAGATCAGGAACTCAAGGCTAGCCTGGGCTGCAGTGTAAGTCTGAAGCCAGCTTGCATTACATGAGACTCGTCTTTAAAAAAAAGAAAAAGTGCAGGGAGAATGGCACCCTAGCAGAAGAGAAACCATGGCACAGACTTTGAGGTGAAGGAGGGGGGGGGGGGAATGTGTTGGAGCAAGAACCAGGAGCCAGCATGTTTGTGATCGGGTCTGCGGTGCACAAACTGGAGATGAGTAGGTGGGTCTGACCATGGACTACTGACTGTCAGTGAACTTTTACTGTGTACTAGCCATGAGTCAAAGAATTGTCTGAATAAAACTCATTAAATCTTCCCACCCCGTGGTTAATCTTATGCTACACATGAGAAAATTCTGTGTGGCCAGTCAGGCTTCCTGAAGGGTGGGAGCGCTTGAGAGGAGAGGAGATGTGATTTTTAGAGGATGCTCTTGGCATTAGAAGCAGAGGTGGGGGGGGGGCAGGGAACGAGGACCCGGCGAAAGGTGAAACTAACTGTAATTCCAGCTTCCCTGGGGCCCTAGTCTAGCTCACGGGGCGCTGTGAAGCTAAGATGTTCCTTCAGAGATGTTCCAAGAGATGAGGGGCCCTGGATTTCTTAATCCTGTGTCACGCCTCGTTATTAACTACAAATGCCCCCAGCAAAGGGGAGGCAAACCAGGGCAGGGTTCAGCAAAGACAATGGAGGACTGTCCTCTTGTAACACTCTAAGAAGCTGGGGACAGACCTTCCAGTCCCAAAGCCAGAGTGGAGCAATGCAGAGTCCACTACACTGAGTTCAAGAAGCTTGCCCGATGTGAGAGCATTTAGGAGCAGAAAGGGCAAAGGGAGAAAGCAGGGCAGCTGGCCTTAAAACTGCATTTAACTGTACTGATGTACTCCAGTGCAGGTGGCTGGGGCTAGATAAACACAGTCCCCCCTCAACATGTGATGGACACTGGTCCTGGGATCCTTCCTCAGACGCCAAAATCTGCAGATGCCGAAGTTCCTTCTGTACAGTGTAAGGTGGCACAGTAGTTGCACAGACCCGCAGTGTTTGCCTATGACCACTCCTGGATTGTGCAGAATACCTAACACTGCAGGTGTAAACCGTTGCTGCACCCCAGCAGTTTCTGATGACAGCAGGTAAACCGTCTGTACCTGCTCCAGCCGCACTTGCAGAGGTGTCCTTACGAAGTGCACAACGGAAGCAAGGGGACCATATCTTCAAAGACAGGCGTTATAGATAGCCTAAGGGTCTGAGAGAGGGTGTCAGGCTACTGGGGACACCTAAGGCCCATTCATGTGGATTCAGAGTCTGGTACATGAAAATTTGATTTGGGGGAATTTTCTGGATTTTATTTTTCTATTTTTGATACGTGGTTGGTTGAATCTGATGAGGAGGAACCCACAGACACAGATCCTGCAGCTACAGAAGATTGTTTCTAATCAGAGGACAGTGATGCTCAAACCTTTGTCTGTAGTACAGCTCTCGCTAGTGGAGGACAGGAGGAAGCAGGTAGCTGATAGTGGTGAGAAGGACCTCTTATCTCCCTGTGAGAGTGGAATCTAGCTTATAGCACAAGACTCACGAAGTACACAGAAAGGAAAAGCTCAGTCTTTACACACTTCTGCCCCCTTTACTACCAGGATACAGCCATCACCGGTTCCCTGTGCATTCCCTCAGAGAGAGCAGACACACGTGTAAGCCTGGGGACACGTGGAGACCAGATTCTACGGCCTTCATATCCCAATGCCCACATCATTCTGCGCTGCACTTTCTGTATTAACACCATGGCTGAGGTCTGGCTTCAGCTGGCTTCCTATGGAGCCACAGCATTCCGTTAAAGATGCAAGCAATAAAGCTTTTCCATCATTTAATGATTTGCTTTCTTCTTCTTCCTCATGATGCTGTGGGTCAGACTGAGTATCTTGTGCTAGGCAAGTCTACCATGAAGCTTCCCTCTCAACCCTGCTACACTTCCGAGCCAGATCTCTCTTTTTTTTAAAATTTTTTAATAATTTATTTAACTTTATTTTATGTGCATTGGTATGAAGGTACCAGATCCCCTGGAACTGGAGTTACAGACAGTTGTGAACTGCCTTGTGGGTGCTGGGATTTGAACTTGGGTCTTTTAGAAGAACAGCCAGTGCTCTTAACTGCTGAGCCATCTCTCCAGCCCCGCCAGATCTCTTTTGATGGACCTTTAAAGATGCTTTCAACCCTTGAAATTTTTTTTATTTGGTTTTACATTTTTCCAAATACCTTTTGGAGACAGAGTTTCCTGAATAGCCACTCTTGCCTTGGATTGATGGCGACCCTTCTGTTTCAGCCTCCCAAACGCTGGGATTGCAGGTTTCTATTACTCCGCCCAGCTCAGGGGCCAGGCACATGTCTAGCGTGTTCTGAGACCACTGGGTTTAATCAACACCCCCAAAACAAAATAAATAACAATGCTAACGTATGTTTGTATGCCTGGAAGTTTGCACGTGTGAACACATTTCTGTGAGATGAAGTCTCAGGATTACTAGGCCAAAGGAGACACAGTTTTTACTTTGACGGAGTCCAACTGCTCCTTATGAGGGTCTACACATTGTCCAGTAGAGTGCTGTTGCCCCAAATCCTGACTCAGTCTAAGATGTGAAAAGAGGGCTTGATGCAGCTTGAATGCAGAGCTATATGCCTGAGGCCCCCCTACTATCCGCCAATCTGTGGAAAATAAAGCCATGGCTTTAAATTGCTTTTATCTTCGCCAGCAAGGTTAAGCACCTGTTCGATTGCTCAAGAGACAATCATGGCTCCTCCCCTGGGAACTATCTCATATCCTTGCATAGGCCTGCTGAGTTACAGGAAGTTCATTCCTTCCTGCCGCCAGTGACAAATACTTAGACTATAATTTAAAGGCAAAATCTTATAAGGAAGAGGAAAGTGGGGGTTCTGTTTGTATGTGAGGTCAGGTGGGACTCCTGGGTGGAGGGAGACGGCCATTGCCCGTGTTATAGCTCCAAGACTCATCTGTCTCTCCCTCTGCGCTGTGTTTCTGCCCCCAGCTCATGTGCTCCTCGGTGCAGAAGGCCCTGTTTGAGGAAGAGGACCACGTCAAGAAGCTGCAGCAGAAGGTGGCCACCCTGGAGAAGCGCAACAGGCAGCTCCGAGAGCGGGTGAAGAAGGTCAAGAGGTCTCTGAGGCAGGCGCGGAAGAACAGCCGCCACCTGGAGCTGGTCAATCAAAAACTCAATGAGAAGCTGGCGGGCGCAGGGGCTCAACAGCACCTCAATGCCCTGCGCCGGGAGCCCCCGCGCGCCCCCTACCTGCACGGGTAGCGTGTGCAGGAGGATGCAGGCCTGCCTTGTCTGTCCCCTGAGGGAATAAATGCGGGTTCCGTACACGCATTTCAAACAGTATAGGAGATACCCATTAGGCATTTGGTGGAGTCTAACTGGGTAAAATGACAAGTCTTACTTTCTTTCCCATTGGGTGCTGGGCCTTACTGGCCACTCGGCTTCAGACCTTATTGTAGGGCGTGTCCTTTTTCTGTCCTGGTGCCGCACAAATACCTTAAAGCAGTAGGATCCCCGAGTTCTGGGCCATCTTGAGTCTGGCCTTCAGCCTCAAGAGTCTCTTCATTGTGGAGAGAACATTCTAGAGGAGAACGTACACGAAGATATCACGGGACTCTTTTTATTTCAGAAGAGAGTCAGTGTGAGTCTCAGCAACCAGAGCTGGCACAAGCCTGCATTTTGAAGAGACACCATTTTACAGAGCCTTCCAGAATGTCCTGCTGCATTTGTCCACAGTTTTAGAAGCAGGGTGCCCACATGCAAATGTGTAGGGACCCCGATTCCAGTCAGAATTTCACTCATGGCATGTTAAGACTTAATGAGTTCATCACAGGCAAGGGAACTGAGTAGGGAACTGAGCGGCTGGTAATTGGTAAAGGTAAATTATATCAGTCATCCAACCCCAGTCCTCCAGGGCTGACATGATACCCCAGGCTGCTTTAGTCTAAAGAGTAATTGATTTTGTGGACACGCTGTTTCATGACGCTGGGAGTCAAGCTAGTATCTTGTGCTTGTTAGATAAAACTCGGCCCTACTGTACGTTTGAACCAGGCCTCTTTTAATGGACATGTAAGGATGTTTTCAACCCTTGTTCCCAAATTGGAATTTATCTCAGACACTGTAGAGTCTTAACTTGGTTTGCTCAGCCTGCCATGCCTTTTGAGTTCATGGTCAATAACCCCAACACACTGAGATTGTCCGCTCTGCAAATTCATCTCCCTGCCTGGTGGGATTCAGTAAGGGCCGTCTTCCCACCCAGGATCCCAAAGGGTGTTGTCTAGGTATTCCAACCCAAGCTTCCACACAACCTCCAAACACCTATCCCAGAAACACAAACATACTCCCCTCCGGGTTCCCCACGAAAGGTCTGTGCATGCCCTGATAGAAGTATTTGTGTAACAGTGCACTTTCTTATAATCAACTCTTTAACAAAAAGCTCTCTTTGGAAAGAACTTCGAGGCAGTTCAATAAGAACGCGCTCACTGCCCTTCCCACTTAAGATGGATCGTGTCTCAGCTGTGCTATTCAGAAGTCGGCTGAGTGGCTGCTGCTTCTTCTCTCCTGCTGATGGCCCTCCAGACCAAATGCCCTCCCATGTTGTCCTCTCAATAGAGAGAATCCTTTGGCTCTCTAGTGTCTACCACCCAAAGCCCACTCCAGACGCATGAGGCTGATAAAGTGCCCATTGCTGTCATGTCACACTGCTATCCTTGTGCTTTTTGGAAGACAGGGCACCTCTGTGAGAAGTACCTTGTATTGTCTGAGCATACAGTGCCCTTGGCTGGACTGGGCATGATGGGAACTTCTATTCTGGGACCAATCTTCCTCCACCCTCAGCCCCTTTAACAGTGCTGTTCCTAATTTGCTACATAGGTGTGCCTTCTCATTAATTCTCCCTGGGAACATCTAAATAAAGAGGTTCTGTTGCCTCCCAAGAGCATGGCAAGCTTAGAGATGACAGAGCCAGGACTCAGAGAACTGTGGAAGCCAAGATGCGTTATGTTCTGCTTTCCCAATAAACATGCGCCGTGGTTCCAACAGCAGTGAGACAATGAGCGTGTCTTTGGATCAGGGAGGTTTCGTGATTTCCAGCTTCGGCTTGGAAAAGTGATTTAGAGACTTTGGGGAGACATCTGGGAGTGAGCCCCGGACACTGAGGACTGTTCAAGCCTGCGCGCCTGCGCCCTTGATGGATGTGACCTGAGTATCCCTCCCCTTGGGTTCCCATCTCTCAGCACGCCTGTGCTCCTGCTCTGCCGCTCACCCGGGACAGGAGATATCATTAATCAATGTCTTCAGACATGTACCGAAGTCTTGCTAAAGGAGACTTCCCCAGGTCCCATAATCTTCTGCCTTGTCATCTTGCCAGAGCCCTGACCACCTGTCACTCATATGAGTGTAATGTTTAATGTTACATAAAAGGATGGCTCCAAGCATCACTCAGAACATGACACCCTTTTTCCATTCTGTTCTGGAACCTTCCATGAAATGCAGGCTAGTGTCTCATTTCCCTTTAAGGTACCAGAAGATGAACTGTCTTTTCCAAAGTCACACAGTAAGTAAGAAGCAGGTAGACTCTCGAATCTTTAAACGACAGTCCCCAGGAATGTCCCACTGGCAAGGTGTGAATGGTAGCAAGTGTAGGAATGAGACTTCCATAGCTCCACAGTATGCCGAGAGTCAATGTCTTTGGCGGATTCCCATTCAGGACACCGTCTCTGCTGTGTTATTTACTCCTTTCGAACACTGTTTTAAACACTGGGATATATTGAACATTATGACCCCACCTGGTAGAAGTAACTAGAATCCTGGCATCTGGAGCACAAGAGTTATCTAACTTTGAAGAGAAAGATTGCAAACTCAAATCACAACGACTTTCAATCAAATGGCAGAATCAACAACAATTTATAGTCTATGAGGGGTTTTTGTTTGTTTGTTTGCTTTTTGCTAAAAAAAATCAAGCACCCTAATTGTGGTGGTGGCACACACCTGTAATCCTACAGTTGGGAGGCAGAAGCAGGAGAATCCTAAGTTTGAGGCCAGCCTGGGCTGTGTAGCAAGACCCCAACCCACATCCCTCCCCCTAGAAACACTAAGCACCCCAGCATTATTAGGTTCCTTCTTACAGACTATTTCACTTAATAGTCTTCATAATTTTATAGAGTAGAAAGCTCAATTGCTGTTCTCCAACAGGAATCTAAGGTTTCAAGTAATAAACGGTTCAAGGGGCACAATTGTGCGGGTGGTTAGACAAGTCCTCATTTCTACCTTCTCTTCGCGCTGTACCTGCTCATCCGTAAACGGGACAGTCCTGTCCCCTCACCCTGAGATTGGCAGGAGAACTGGATGCAGCACAGTCCTCATACTCATTTAATCCCTTCTTATTCTTCTACTTTTTATTATCAACATTTGCCAGAAAGGTTCAGTGTGTGTCGCAATAAGGAAGTTTATCAGACAAGAAGAGAAATGAGGGAAAGGTGACTATAATCAGAGTACATGATACTTGTATGCATGTGCTACACATGCATATGAATGTCACAAGTCAATAATTTTGTGCATGGATATGACATAATCAACTTTGTTGGAAAGAGACTATTTGGTAGGATTGCATATAATTTTCTTATTGATCCCCATATGAATCTTTGGCCCTTCTTTTCTACCTACCCTATGTCTTTTGATTTTTAAAAAATATCTTAGCATCTCCCTTTCTTCCACACAAAGTAGTTGGCTGTCCCTCCAGGTTATAGAGAAAATACAGCCCTGGTGTGTTCCCTCAGTTCTTTACTCACACCCTGTAGGTTTGCACCCTTCCCCACTCCCTCCATCAAGGGGAGAAGCCTGCTTCTACTGCCACATGCAGGGTCTTTACGATGCCCTTTCCCTGTGATGACTTCATATCTGTTGAAAACAATCTCAGGTTCTCAAGTTGAAGGTAGGACTTTTGGGAGATAATTAGGAGTTGATGAGATGATACCTATCAAGATGGTATTAGCAGCTATCCAGGAAGAGAGAGACCTGAGCTGGTACTATTGCATTGCTCAATATGTGATGCCCTCTACCCGTTATGATTGCCACTAGATAATAGTACCAAGTCCTTTGACTTTCTAGTCTCCAGACCATGTGATAAATAGTCCTCTATTAATGAATCACAGGTATTTTATCAGGTATTTTGTTATAGCAGCAGAAAACAGACTAAAATGTCTGATTCCAACATTCCCTTTAACCACAGACCTTTATTATTGGGAGCTCATGTCTTTATCTTCTCGATGTTCTCAGATTTATTCACACCATGACAAAAGCCAGAAAGAAGCATGCCAGCCCCAAGCACAAGAGTGGTCCACGGTGGCCCTGATACTCCCTGAAATCATTATCTTGGTCCTGCGCTTGAATCCCCAGTGAAATCTGTAAGTGCTGACTTGCACTTTCTACTTCTCATGGCCTCCTCAGCCTGTGAGGACTGGCAAGAAGATGGCCAAGGCCGCTTTTACCCACATTTATCTCCCCCATTTATGAAATCATCAAAAGGAAACACTTGACATGATCCACAACTTATTACCAAGACTTTCTTCTTCCTTTTTTATACCTTCTTCCCATCTCCCTGACCACTGTTAAACAGCTATACTCGCTTTCACCAACCAATGCTTAAACTGAGAAATTCTAATGAGAGCAAAACTGCCATTAACAAATGTCATATGTGTAGTTATGCAAGTCTAGGCCAGTGGTTTCCAACAGAACCATCTTCTGTAATGGGAATGGTGGAAGCTGCTAGCTCTGAGAATGTGACTAGTGTCGGGGGCTGGAGAGGTGGCTCAGCCGTTAAGAGCACTGGCTGTTCTTTTAGAGGTTCTAGGTTCAATTCCCAGCACCCTCATGGCGGCTCACAAACTGGGGATCTGGTGCCCTCTATTGACTTCCATGGGCACTGCATACATGTGGTGCACAGACTACGTGCAAAAGAAACTTCCATATAGATGAAATAAAAATTGATACATCTTCAAAAAATTGATTAGTGTTACTAAGTAGCTAAGTTTGTACTTAAAACCCATTTATGATTTAAAAATTGTTATTTTACTTTTGTTTAAGATCTGGAACACATTTCCTTTTGAAAGTGTTGAGTTCCGGCATCCCTGGGAAGTGCAGCAGTAGGCATCCTCTGATCTCCAGATGAGAGAAACCTGTGGGAAATACTCCCTATGGCACAGAAAACACAGAGTGTACTGAGCTTCGAGAGACAAAGGGAGCATGTTATCTGTAAAAGGAATCAGAGCCAAATGGGTGGTTGTGAGATTGCACAGATGAAAACGACGGTCCAACCAGTAAACATCAGACTGATCACTGTAACTAGCATCAAGGAACCTAGATCTAGCAAGCAAAAGTCTGCTTTTCGTCTCTACTTTCAGGGAGTCATAGCACTTAAACTGATTCTGAATAAACAGAGGTCACGGACCCTGTTGGAACAAAGTCCCATAGTAACACTGTAATATAGTCTTAGTTTTCCTAGACTTGTACAAAGGGAGCTGTGGGTACTTCTTAGTGTCAGTGTGGACAGAGCATGGAAACCTTCGGCCACTGTGGTGTTACATTACTTATGCTGAACTGACGCTGAGACAGAAGCCAAAGTGCTCATAGATAAGAGTTTCTAGTGCTGTGGTGTAGTAGTAGTAGGTCTACTGGTCTGTGACTCCATCTCAAAGCAGGTCTCGCTGGTCTTTGAACCCATTCTGAGCTTACTTTTCCTAGCTCTTGAGTAGGCAGTTAAAGCAGACACTCTGTCTACATTGCCAAAATGTCCACAATGATTTCCTGAGCCTTGGGTCTAAGACCGTTTATATCAGGAAAGGTAAGAGAAAAACCTGAATTTTCTATTATTTACGAGTACTAAAGTAGATAAACAATAAAACAACAACAGCAAAAACACCAAGAAGTCAATATCCTGCTAGACAGAACAGAAACATCAAATTATTAAGAAGTATTTAGTATGAAATCTAGAATTGAAAAGTGCAATAATTGAAATCAAGATGCTGCAAGAGGATTTAGTAACAGAAGCAGAGGAAAAATAAAGATAAATCTATTGAGATTAGTTGTCCAGGCACAAATAGAGAAATTAAAAATAATGGGGAAAGTAAGTAGGGCCTAAGAGATTTATAGGTGTCCTCAGGCAGACCAGCACACACATGAGTTCTGGTTCCAGAAGGAAAAAGGACAGGAAGTAGATTGATGATTGCCAGGTGCTGGGATGAATGGAGAAAGAATGGCTTCAGCATTCCTTTCAAGGGATAACAATGTTCTGGATGCTGTGGGTATAGCTGTGGCAGTTAGCATGCCTAAAGTTCCAGGGTCATCCTCAATGTCAGAAAAGAAAGTTTTACAATCAATAATGATGTTTGCACAATATTGTGAAGGTGAAACAAAACTCAATTACATATATGTATGTATGTGTTGTATATATGTATTATACCTCAACAAAAACCAATTCGCTCAGCTCCTTCTGCCTTGTCTCCCTCTGTATTTGTCATTTTCCTTATTGCTGTTATGAAATACCTGGCAAGAGAGGCTTAAGGCAATACACCTCATTCTGGCTCACAATTTGAGGGACAGCCTAGCATGCCAGGGAAGACATGGCAGTTCGAGGGTACAGTCCACTATGTCAGGGAAGGCATGGCAGTTTAGGGGTACAGCCCAGCATGTCATGGAAGACATGGCACTTTGGGGATACAGCCCAGCATGCCAGGGAAGACATGGCAGTTCGGGGGTACAGCCCACCATACCAGGGAAGGCATGTTAGCGGGAGCCGGAGGCAGCTGGTTGTACGGCATCCACAGTTGGGAGGTAACATGAGGACCTGCTGGAGTGCACGTGCTTTCTCCTTTTATTTAGTTCCGGCCCCTAGCTGGTAGAAGGCTTCCATGCACGGGGGGGGGGGAGGGGGGGGGCGG